TCAGGTCCACTTCTTACATAGCATCTTTTATGGCTACATTTCAAAAACTAAACTAACATCGGTGGGTGTAAAAAGTGAGAGTTATTTTTCAGGTCTGCTTTTGAAACAAACAAACTGACCTTAGTTTTCACTTCTATTAAAGGTAACAAGTTTAAATTTAAACCTTTTGTTCTGAAGAAGAGTAATATCTCAAGTGTTGGTGAAGCCTATTCACCCAAGTTCTTCATTGAGGATCTTAGCAATAAATTATGTGACCCTTTTTGAGAGGCTTCAGCACATGTTTTTCCTTAATAGCCACAGACTTGCTTTTATGGGCCTTGTGGCAGACCTTCCCGTGTCACTAAGAGTTAGTTCTGCAGGATCCGTGTCTGTCTGGAGCTCCCACTCTGCTTTACCTTTTTAAAAAAGTAACAAAGTAGGACATAATTCACACTTGTACATCCACACGTGTTCACTTACACCTGTGAAACAGCATTGTTGTCAGAAATAGAGAGGTTCTGTATTCGCATGACTAAGGTCCTGCAAGAAGGCACACTGTCAGCTGATGCTAATGGACAAGAGCTGACCCAAGATGTAGTTCTGTATTTCAATAAAAAAAGCTTCTTTTTATTCTAGATGTTCTCTGGGTTCCAAGTCTACCAAGGCAGTCTTGGCTTCCTATATCTAAAAGTACAGATGAGTACCTACTACAGTTGGTAACACAAAATGTTATCTGTGCATTTTATTCATGTCCTGTATGTTCTCCCTGCAAAATAGAGGTAAACATCTCAAGTCAGCACAAAATACATTGGAAGTTCTTTTACCTAATATCTACAAAAAAGACCCAACATGCCTCTAAAAATAAATTATTATATCCTCAGAAATACAATGGTAAAGTACCTGTGACCCATGATAGACTTCTGTGACACAGCATACATTGAAAAGACTAGAGAGTTCACATTTTCCAGGCGGTGGAGGTCTGTTTCCATCCATATGTTTCTTCTCGTCATACAAGAAGGGCATCACAACACTTTGTGATTGTCTAAAGATTGCTTCATTTCAACAGCAAAGCAGATGTCTGAAGTCCCTTACATTTTGGAGGAACATTGATAAGAAAATGTGGTCAGTGAATTATCGTTACAGGAAGTCCTGTGACTGGAAAGTGTGTGGGGAAACAAACACCCCTATCATCTAGAATTATAACTCAAAGTGCTTGCAAAATGCATTCAAATGTACTGTATTTTCCAAAAATGTTAAAAATATCAATTAAATTAGGGTTTGGGTTTTTTTTTGTTCTGAGTTCCAATATTTTAAGGACTATTTTTCAGTTATTAAGTAGATGCAATCTGTGCTTAGGCAGTGCACACAATTTGATAGACAACATGAAGCATGACTGGCTGCAAAACAGTTTTCTGTGCATTTAAACAATCATCTTTGCACGCAGCTTCAAGTAACCAGTGGACTTCCTTGTTACTCTCTAACTGACAACACAAGAATAAAATACAGATTTGTGAAAAATTTATCATTTGCCTTGAGAGTGTCTTAAATAAACTGGGGTGCAGGTTGATCTCATGCTTTTTTTCTTTTTTTATTTCCTTGGTTAAAGATAAAATACTCAAGGGGGGGGGAAACAGAAAAAAAGTGTATTAAGACTACATTTGGCATTTTGAATACAACAAAAGGTACCTATAGGGTTGCTTTATTGTAGAGTCAAATAAACTCCAGCTGTCAGCCCTGTGATCACTTCTTCAATAGGCAAAAAAGACTCAGCTCTAACCTGGCTACATGCTGGTTCTCACCAGTATAACAACTGATATTTTCTTCCTTATGAATTGTATTTACAATTATTCCTTGGCTTTCTAGCAGAACTTTGAAAGAAATATGTGACTAGACTTCCTAAGTAAGTGCTTTATTTTTTTTCTCTTTTGTTAAGTAAAAAAGCTTTATATCTGTTTTCATTACAGCTGAAGTAAAACCTTTTGCCCGAGATGAAAATGTCTGCAGGATGACTTGCAAAATCTTGTGGTTTTATTGGCATTCTCCTATTATGTTCATATTAAAGAGCCCAAAGTATGCTAAATATGACCCTGTGCCTAGAGTGAGAGACCAACTACTGCATATATGGAGTCAGAAAACACGCATTGCTGAAACTTTGATCACTTCTTTAAATGTATTAGTAAGGGGAGAGATCCTGACCTTCCAGAAGTGAATAGGAGTTTTGTCATTGACTTCTCCTGGACCAAGGCTTCACTAGCTGTCTTCTGATAAGAATTTCTAGATTTATTGTGTAACTTTATTCAAGATCCACACTTCACAGGAGGAATATACATAACTGAGCACTAGAATTGATTTAAAACTTCGAACAACATTTTCCTGAAAACTTATTTTTCATAATGTTCTCTTTTGCATTCTTAGAGGAGGAAAATGATGAAATAAAACAAACAATTCTGAAAATCTGTTTCAGTTTTACTTGAAATGTTTGATATTGTGTGTTTTTCTGCTGCCTCCTCATTTTTTCTTCATTAATTTCTGTCTTTCTTCAAAAAATCTAAAAAGTTAAAAAGCAAGAATTGAGGGGAAAAGGGGAAGAATGATAATTATTTGAGAAGACAGATAACTTTAGTCCATATTCCATTTTTTACACTCAAAGTCAAAGATAAGTCAGAGACAAGTGTCACAGCTTCAAAACTACAAAATTCCATTTTTCCCCAGAATGGCTTGCTACCCCACTTTCAAAATAAACCACTGTATTTTGAAAGCTAATTGCATGTTGCATGTTGTTGCTTTTATGAAATTTTATTTTTCATTTCCAAGTCCATTCTGTTAGCAGTTTGTCAGAAACTCATTAAAAATGCTATTCTAGATTGTTCTGTCATGTAGATAGGCAAAACACAGAGGACTAGGACAATAGTCTGTGTAAGGCTAAGTAGCATATGACCTTAAGCAAAAATGAGCCCTAAATAATTTCAAAAGAGCTGTTTATTGTGGCATCTGAGAAACTATATTCCAGCAAGCCAAAATACTGACAACTATTCAGTGAACAATTTCTTTTCAGCAAAATGCTTATCCAGGTGGCTGAATGCTTTCTTTTTGGTTCTGATGTCAGTCAGCTAACTAGTCTGCTCTTTCAGACTTCACCAAGGTGGTTGACCTTAAGACTTCATAAAATTGACTTAATTTGTTTTGCCATCATTTCTTTATCGGTCAACAGTCTATATGTTTATATGAAAGTATTTTTTTCAAATGTCTGAAATTGCCATCTATGGGCCTTTGGGTAAATAGTTAACTATGTCAATGACAAGTGCAAAGCATGAGGTGAGCTTTTTAAGCCATTTTTTTTGCTTCCAACAGTAACATTCTTGTCACTATTGAACCATCTTAATGTAAAAATATACCAATGAAGAAATGAAATATAGGGAGTGGTGTTGCACAGAGGTTTTCTGTTAAAAATCTTCTATGTAATATAAAATGAACAAAAAAATTTAAAAAGTTGCATATTAGGTATGTGAAGGTACTTCCTTCAATCCTCAGCAACAGGTTTCCAACAGATATGTCAAGAGAAAACTGTATATATGTGGGTTTTCTAAGAGAAAAATCATTTCAATTCTAATACAAATTTAATCCTATCAGCTGTATACTTGCTCTGTGCACTCAAGCAATGAGCAGAACAAGTTTCAAGTTCTCACACTTCTTCACTCATGTTGTACATTGTCTGTACGACATAGAGAGTTTGATATAGTGAAAGTTTACCAGAGATCCTACCAGAGTTGTCGCACAACGTATTTTGATAATTTAACAAAGTTTCTGATAATGCCATCAATAAGAATGGCACAGGAAAATGTTTGAAAACTCTAATACCTGTACCTGAGGATATCCTGTGGTAATCAGTGGTAAAGGTTTACTTTTGAAAATCCTTTTATCTGGCATATCTGTTAAATACATGCAACCACCTGCCTACCTCCAGGGGATTCATTACCCCACGACTCTTCACTCTTCCCTCCTAAGCATCATCTAGCAGGAGCTGCAGCTATATTTGGTTTCTAAAAACAATCACAGTTACTAGGTATATCTGTGAAGCTTCTTCCAGAGTGCGTAAAAGAGTCCTAACAGTTCCAGGTAAGACGGAGAAAGTCCCCATAATATGCCGTGTTTGTAAGGTGATGATAAAAATCATATCAGAAATTATTACAAAGCCCACTACACAAATTATACTGTGTTATGGACTGGCAGAGCCATTTAAAGCCTTGCTGCGAACATTTACCTCCATACCATTCTTTATCATAGCATACACTCCTCTTTGTTTACCATTATTGATAGGCAACTGTGTATGAAAAATTTGAATTCTTTCTTAAATTATTTACACTTAACATCCTCTTTAAAATGGCAGATCTCCAAAACCAACATCCCAGTTACTCATTGACTCATCATGCTGTTTTGATAGCAAGGGCAACATTGCAGCAGGTATTCTGAGTGGTGCTTTTACCCACTGGGATTTCTGTTGCACCACAGACCTTTAAGATTCTTAAAAGTACTTCAAGGACCACAGCAATCTAAAGCTTTAAAGCAAATTAGATTTAACACCTATCTCCTTCAAGCCCTTCCTTTCTAGAGCTGAATTCCTTTCATTATATTTGGTTTACAAATACTCACAGAAAAGCCTTTCTACGAATAATTTATAGGCTGAAGTTTGAAACAGTGAATGAAACGAAAGCCATAATAATGTGTTCTGGTAATTCAACCGGTTTAAAGAAAAAACAAAACAAAACAAAAAGATAAATTATTATAAAATGAACTACATTATATTGGTACTGAAGAGCACATCAGAATGGAAGTCAGAATATGATATGTAGGCAGCTGTGCACACAGATGTGTAACCCTGTTCCAAAGGCTGGAAAACATTCCAGTAAAATGATATCTCTAGGTTTCCAAACTTCAGTGAACTGAAGATTTTATGGTTTTCATCATTTCATATTAATATACAAGTCTTAAAAATACATAACGTGAATTTGAGTAATCAAGTGAAAGTAAGCATCCATTTTGCCTAGGCACTTTCAACACACCTTTTTAGACAACTTTAATCTTTAAGCACTAAAACCAGCAATGAAAAATATTATCCTAAACAGACACTTTAATATCTACAAGTACCACAGTAAAATGTACAATACAATTCAGCCACTGAGACATGACTAGACAGATATCCTCCTGGTGGAAGCTTCCATGACCAAGGGTACATTTAAAAAAAAATAAATTTCATTCAATGCAGACTGTTCAGTATAGACTTGGTATCTATCAAGAGCATTTCCCACTTGTCATTCCTTCCCTCCAAGTGAGGAGAGAAAGCAGCCTTTCTGCAAAAAGGACACAAAACCTTTCACGTTTGTGTCGCTGGCGTGTTCCAAGCTCATGCAGGAAACCACAGCCCATTTGGCAGGAATCTACCATTTTGCAGGCTGGAGTAACAATCTGTCTGTTTATTTCTGGACTTCCTGCAGTTACATGCTGATTTCCCAACAAGGTGGTTTCTGCACAGGTATAGTTCTCAGCATAATTAATGTGTTATAAGAAATGCATTGTGCCCCCTGCTTTCAAGCAGCTCTGTGGTGGCAGGGTTGCATACCACCACTTCACTGGGGCTGTCAGCATCTCTAGGAGGGCTGGGAGAAAGCCAGCACTTAAAATGGTTGGGGGACAGAGCCAGCAATCCCACTGTGATACAGATTCATCAGGAAAGGGCATGTCTGAACGGCACCCAAAATCACAAGAAAGAGAGAAGGGAGCCAGCACCATGAGAGCTGGTGCACTCACATTGTGCACAACATGGTGCATTTGCCAAACTGGGACTGGGTTATTGCATGGTTGTGCTAGAACAGAAGTTCATCCAGGCTACCTGCAAATGGGCACATGTCTAGTGACATACTGGTGTTGCTACACTGCTTCAAGTTTCTACAGTAGGTCAGCCTACAACAGATGAAAGCTGTTTGCTCTATGCTCCCATGTAAGGATCAGAAAGGTCCTCAGAATGATATCTGGAGAACTGTTTTTTCCCCGTCGTTTGCTTAAACCAATACTTAACTATAGCACACATTTTCTGTGGGATTCCTTCACTATCATTAGCGTTCAATGATGCTATGGAGCCTCTATAAACCTATCCTCTGTATTTATGAAATTCTATTTTTTTTCTAAAACAATCTGATGACAATAACTGGGGTCTAGATATAGTAAATTATACAAAGTCCCTCCAACATCCATCTCTCAGAAGTGAGCACTGAGCCTTCAGTTTCACAGCTACAGTTCTGCAATTCATACAGCTGCTTTGGGTAACAGAAAGCTTTCCTTTCCTTTTTTCTTCTCTTAGCTGTGAAACTGGTACCCGCAAAAACAGCCACATTCAGTCACTCTAGGTAGACAGCTTTGGCAAATAGAACTGTTCCACATATACAGCTTGTGTAATAACTCCTTGTGAGGTCTAAAACTGGAGGAATAATAGAACCATCTTCAAAATAAGGAAGATTGGTTTAAGTCCAACACAATCCTATGGGAATTATTTTAGCTGTAAAATCTCTGAAAGACTTGGACAGGTAAGTACTAACAAGCTTATTTCTTCACTATAATACTTGCTAAATAAAACTAATTTTTTTTAATAAACCCATTCTTTCATTATAGCAAATGACCCCTCCTTTAAAAGTTGTTCTAGATAAAGACCAGGTTTTTACAGTTTCCATTCTGCTGTCTTGTCAATGTTTGGTTCATCAACCCCTCAGTTCTTCTTATAGCCACCTCTGAAGAAATATAATGAAAGTTTCTTAATTTCATTAAGAAATTTAATATGATTGTGAAAGCTTAGGATGATTATGGTACCCTAATTTTTTTAAGACAGACACATTTTTAACTCATAAAATATATTCTTAATTAAAAGCTGGCGGAACTTATTTATATTGTTTTAATTCCAAAATATTTTCAAGTCAGTGTAGTCAGGTCTAGCTTTGAATTTGTTCTTGTGTTTAAATAATGTTCATGGTTTAAAAAATGCTCATGTTATTGAAAGGAAAGTTGAAACACTGAGAATATATGACAACACTGGCTGTTTTATGCAGTTGTAACAGCTATATCTGCCTATGAAGCCAAGTGGAGGTAGGGGGGAAGTATTTCCACTGGTTTAAATTATTTATTATTTTAACTGGTACTTAGTAGCAGTATAATGCACTCAAGTACTTTCTAAATTCTTTCTAAGCAATTTATAAAATCTTTAACAACTAAAAGTGAAATAATTATCATTTGAACCTCTGCCATATCAGAATATTATTTAGGAGGTTATTGCAATCTGTCCAAGTTGTGGAAGACATTATTTTTGTTATTCATCTGGGGTAAGAGTAGATATAATACCTCATACACATTAAGAAACTGAAAGAACCAAAATCAATGCTAGAATATTATACCATTTTCTAATTCAAGATCCAGAAGCACTCACAACTAATAAAATGAAAACTTTGATATACAATATTCCTCATACAATAACCTTCAGCTTTCAGAAACAGTTAAAATTTTCTAAAAATTTACTATATTTTTTAGGGGAAGTTAACTGGAAGATATTAAGATATTTCTGTGTGCTGAAATCAGAGTGAGATAAAAGGCAATTAAGAACTAATACATAACACTGAAAAACATCCTTTTTCATTTTTCACCTCTCACTATACTGTGCATTTTGTTCAGCTATATTTATGTACAAAAAAAAAAATCATCTATTTTTTCGTTGAAAGCTTTTTTCATTGAACACTTTATGGCATAAAATTTCCTTAGAAATTATGTCACGTTGTTAGAACTATACAATAGCAACTTTTTGTGAGAATTGTCATGGCAATGTAAGTGCTAGGCAGTTGTTGAATCATCCTTAATATTTTTATTATTTAAAATTTGAGAGAGGTTTAACTGATTCATATTCACCTAATGTCCAAAGCCATTCCTAATAGCTCAAAAATATTTTAAGATGTTTCCAACTTTAAATCAATGCAGCTTCTGAGTATAGTTATTTCTCAGAATTAATAAATGTGCCAGACTGAAAAAAAACTTAATCTCTTCTGAAATTCTAACACTATTTTACTAAAGGGAAAAAAATAAGTAATTGAAAACTTATGTTACAAAATCTATTAGTGATCAAATAAAGATCTACCTGTATTACAGTTTCTCATATACTGCGTATTTAGATCTTGTCAAATGCTCCTTTTCATTTCACCTCCAGAAACAAAGGTGCATCCCTTGAAATTACCATTTACATTATATGGAGCAACTTATGTCATATGAAGAAAAGTAAAAATTATTTACATTTTCAAATATTTTTACACAATTATCTTGACATCTTGAAAGTCCAGTACATAATAACTCAGTTCTTTTAGGTTGTGTAGTAAGAAACACAAATCGGCCCATTTTTTGAGATATTGGCAGTCATGAAAGAGTACTTCCTTCACTGTCAATTTTCTTAAGTAAGAAGTGAGCTAATATGTTGTTATTGTAAAGGCGTGAAGTTTTGGTCCTGTAATAACTCTCATTGTTTTGCATTTCAGTGGTGGCTGACTTTTCTTGCATTCGCAAAGAAATGTAAATTCTTTGTTATTTTAGAAATTATTCTTGAGTGCAAGCAATCATTTTCTGGTCTTACTGTGGCCAGTTCCCAGTCTTTCAGACATTAGCCTCATTTCAGGTTATAAGGGATTCCCAGTTTGGGATTTACAGTCCCATTTGAAACCTTCATCCAATGTCCGAAGAAACTAATTTCTCGTTCTTGCACCATTATAGCTCTGAAATTCTTCTACCATCTCCTTAGCACCTTAGACTGCCACAGTAGCACACAACACTGAAATCTCATGCAGACAGATGTTCTGCTCTATGTATAGACCTTTACACCTGGAAAAATATTTGCAGAGAGCTCTGAGAAGACCTCAACCTAAAACCTGCCAGGAGGAATTTGCTTGGAAATACATTTCAAAGCCTCATCTGGAATCTTTGCAATAAAATATATCAGCACTCGGACTCAGCCAGCACATTTAGTATGATGAATGAGGAGTTCAGAACATGTTAATTTTTTCATGACATCACCCAACCTGGGTTGCAGAATCCTGGGAAAATATCCTGTTTGCTTGAAGAAAGTATAAAACATTGAGACTCCCACCTCTGTCACTACCAGGTGAGGACTTCACCTTAGATCAAGAATTCCAAAGAACTTTTTTCTTTAGCCAAGTTCTGTGATAGATATCTTTCAAAACCAGTCTTTACTCTGAAAACTGATTTAAATTAATGCGACCCTGCTTAATGTTGATCTTCAAAGTTTCAACTGATTGATTTAGGTGTCTCTTATTTAGGTTGCATGGACTGAGAAACATGCCCTATGGGGTCAAGATGGACTTTATAGGGGACAAACGAGACACAGCACATATTCTCCTCTATGAAGCCATAGCCATACCACTATGTTTTCCTATTCTATTTTCTCAGTCTTTTGCTTAAATGTCATTCTTTGTCATGCAAATTAACTTCATGAATTTTCTGATGTGATCTCTATCTTGGTAAAAGATGAGAAAATAAAATTAACATCCCAAATACACATACTCTAGTCTTGTCATTCATCCTTCTCTGCCTTTCCTCTGAATATTGTGCATACACATACACACAAACCCCAAAGAGTACAACTTTCAGCTTTCTACCCCAGCTCAGTTCCTTCTTTCCAGGATCACTATCTCCTTCCATCTCTTGTAAACTGTCTTTTTGTCCCGCTTCTTCCTTCCAGCCGTATTCAGCTTACAGGTCTGGGCTTTCTTCTACCAACCAATAGTTTTGTTTCTGGTAGGGATTTTGCTCACTTTTTATCTCATTAAACTGTAAAAAAAGAAATGCAAGCAACTTGATACAGAAGTGATTTCAACAGAGTTCTTCTGTAGCCATATACCAGGTTGAGGTTCAAAGCCATAAAAAAATGATTGATACTGAAGGAAATTAAAGCCAAACTTGTATCTCTCAATACCTGCAAGCAACCATTCACTAATGGTCAGAGCTCCTAAAGTGTCTGAAGTTCTTCTGGTACCTTAGAAAGTGTCTGAAAAGGCTCTTAGGGCTGTGCTTTGAAGAATAGTTTTGGCTATACCTCCACTTAGTAAAAATAGGCCAGCTGTTCTCAGGGAAGCACTGGAAGCCAAGAAACTGGAACGAGAGAGAAAGCAAGCTCTGGCAGGCTGCAAGGTTAGACACCTAAATCCAAGGGGCAAGACCAAACCAGTCCTTTGTCTTCAGAAGCATCTCCCGACACAGCGCCTTTGCCCCTGTTATGACTCTTCCCTTAAGCACACATGGTGAGCTAAGAGCATCCCTGCAGGACCAATGGCTACAGGCTCATGGCTGTGTCATTGCCCTACCTTCCCTGGTGGCTCCAGCAGTGAATTTTATCTGGAATCATGTGGCTATAAAATAAAGTTTCAAGTTTATGTCTATACAAAACATTCCCTTATTGGTTTTGAAGTACCTACATAGTATTGTCCACTGTTAGAAATACAAGAATTTAATCCCAGGATTTATCCAGACAGTCCAGCCCTGACCAAAACTCTCCTTGTGGCTGCTTTCTAAGGGGTTAGAAATAGCATCAGTGATATTTATTACAGACTTCAGCTGGCACTTAGCTTGTCAGGCATTCCAATCAATATATGATGCTTTTGTTTCTCCACACCCCTATCAGAAATTATATTGTTATTGTATTTTGACTCTGCTGAACGCTTGAACACTGTGTTGCTCTGTGCTCCCTAGGGCACAGAGAATTTCAAACTTCTCACGACATCACACTGCAATGACATTTTCAGTTTACCCTTGTATTTTGAAGACTCTCTCCAGTCATCAGGATTATGATCATGGGGTACACTTTTGCTGCACAAGATTTATTTACTGGCAAGTTCTGTATAGCTGTAAGTTACCCAAACCCCCAACACTGCAGATTATCATGTATTTATAGCTCAGGGACACATTACTTATTTTATCTTTTGACTGAAAAGTTTATTTACCTGATGAGAGGGAGAGCATGAAGGATCTTAGTACTGGAACCAAGGTTTTGAGACAAGGTAAACAGTGAAGATGCTTGTAAAAGAGATAGGAGATTGGAGTAGTATTGACAGTACTAGTATTAGTATGGCTTCCGGTATTGACATAAAATAAATCAAGCAACTTCAGAAACTTTCAGTTATTTCTGACTTCAGCTTTATCCTCCGGTTTCTTTGCTCTGCCCTCAAACAGCCTTCACTACATGCCTATCTGTCCTCTCATGCTCCAGTCCTTGGGTGCAAGGATTGTTTTTTCTCTTGTATTTGGAAAGTGCCCAGGCCATTTTACACATAGCCACAACATAAATAATTTTTATCCGGCCTGCTGGAATGCCCACTCAGTGTGTTAGCTGCATGGCTGCACCTTCAGTCACCTCTTGTTCTCTCCCAAGGATTGTCCCATATCTCCTGCAGTTTACTGCCAGCAGCAGGGGAGCATCTACACAGTCAGATGTCCAGTTTCAGATATTTTTCCCCCTTGTTTTTTCTAGGAAAATTAGATAATGACAGTTTTAATGAACTCACTAAAAGGGGTGATCTACACAGAATTTACCAACAGTAAGGCTGTGTGCACTACTCAACAAGATATGTTGCAAACACAAGTATAATAAACACTGCTGGAGAGGGCTGCCTGGTGAACTCGTAGTGCACCTATGGAGTGCTGCTTTGAGAGCCAAGTGACCCCAATTTCAGAGCAGTCCCAGAATCCAGAAAACTGAGTTCGTAACAGTTATGTGTTCGTAGTCAGGGAGAAAGAGTCAGAAAAACAAATATTTTTTCTTGTTTTAACATTTGGGATTTAAAGTACAAGACCTGGCTTTATATTACTGACCAGGCTTTCTAGCTCTTCAAAGCACCAACTGCTCTGTGTTGGCATAAATGTTGCTCCATGGAGGTCAATAGGAGTTCCAGCTGACCTCCATGAAATATCTGTTAAATAAAATGCATCAAAGAATTGGATTCTTTAAGCAATCTTTTCCTCAAGTTTCCCTGCTGTAAAGGAATGGAGAATGTTACTCACTCTGTTGCATAAATCTCTTTCAGAACTTAAGCAGGAAAGCAAGAGATTAATTCAGTGACAAATTTTGGCATCACTGCAGAATACCTACACCTATAATTAAAGCAAAGTTACTTCATCTGTAGTACTGTATATATGACTAAATGCTATTCCTTGTGAACTAAAGGGTATGTAAAAATTCATAATCAGACAAAGTTTGCATTTTTTTTGAGGGTTAGTAGATAATATGCTGGAAAGTGAAACAAACATTTCTCATATTATTACATCTTTCACAAAATATGTATAACTGTGAATTTTGCACACTCCATAAATAAATTCCCTCATAACATTAATTTACTTAATTTTATCTATAGAAGTTATATATGTAAAATATTAATAATGACAATCTGAAAGCATAAGAAATCATTATTAATTGTGTATTTTACACTTATCACACTATCCAGAGGTATAATAATCGCCAATAATCCATCCTCATATATATAGCTTGTACTTTTAGAACAAGCTCTGCTTATGTAGCTCCATGAACAGATTCGCCATTGTTTTACCATGTCTGTCATTTTGGATTTAAAGATATCTTCCTATATAATGCAGAAGTAGTGCAGAGCCAGCATATACAGTATGTACAGATAATGAATCACCCAGCCATTCAACAAGCATGCTCAAATTATGATTGTAAAGTCATGGAGCAAAAATTAACTTTCCTTCATTGTGACCTGTGTTTATGCTCTTATGCTCACAGACCATGGTAAGACTTCTGCAAACTTCTGTATATCAAACCTTTATTGATACACCAGGAAATTCTTAATTCCTCTGTTTTTCTTGTTTGGCATGTCAACTAGACTGATATGGCCCAGATTTACATGGCAAGTTCATACAATTTGCCTACAGTAAACAAATAAGAACCATTAACATGGCCCTTTTAGGTACGTAGAGGGAAAGAGATTTTAAAGTAAAATAATGGCACAAGATATACAATTTTCTGTGTAGAATACTGTATCAGGTTACTTAATAAAGAACATTTTTAAGCACATCTAAGCTAGGTAACAGAGCAATTGAGCTTTCTTGCACAACCTTAATTCCTCTACATGCATTATGAGACAATCTTTAATTAAGTGATTATGCACTACAAATTCTGTACTGCATTTTACAACACACACAATAGACTTTTTTTCTGGAAAGGAATTAAAATTATCTAGAGCTGTCTGAAGAAACCCCTCTTACATATGCCCATACAATAACAATAGGAAGTTATAGCTTTAGTTATCCAAAACTAAATAAAAACAACACTTGCCACTGTTTTCTATCTGGCTTTCTCAAAGAGATTTATGAAGTTGTATCAGAATATTTGTTGCCTAGTTTGCAAATGTAGTAAGTGGAAACACAGCAAAATCTTCATCTGCACTTCGAAGACTTCTGCATTGTTCTTTGTAATGAAAAGAATAAAATAGCAGACCTCAATTTTCTTCTTTCCTTGAAACCACTTAAAATTAATGATTACACGGCTCACAATGAACTTTTATAATTACTTTCTAGAGCTTTATACAGATAAGTATTAAAAGCATAGGTCTAGCTGCATTTTTTTAAAGACAGGAAGGGTTCTACCTGTATTTACATATTTTGATTCAAAATCTCCTTTATTCTCAGTTGGGAACAGAAAAGCCTTTATTATTCTCAGCTGGGCCCAGTCCCACAAACATTTCAACTCTGTCTTCATCAGATGCAGATCACACCAGCATTTATCCCCACTAATCACCACTCCCTCTGGCACTGACATTATCCTGGGGAGTTTCCCATTCACCTGACATCAATTACCCTAGACCCTGCTGATACTTAATTCATATCATCATTCTTAATTAATCATTAACCCCTTCACTGCAGTCACTGTTCTGTAATTGGTGTTCACAGCATCTGCAAAATATTAAGGGTATTTGAATCTACATTCATCATGAGCTCTTCTATTAAAGCATGAGGTACAGCTTACAGACTTCAGCCATGTTTCAGGACATCACACAAACATATTAAAACTAGGAAAAATTAGTACTCCTGATCCTAATCCTGATCCAGATTCATAAATCTAGCAGCTGCACATCTACCATTCAGTTATCTTCAGAGCCATTTAATAAAATCCTGTTTTCACAATGATATCAGGAGACCTGCATGATCAGTTAGCTAGGAAAAATGTTCATGCAAATAAGCAGATACCTTTGTAGAGCTTCACGTTTCAAAATATTTAAATAAAAAAGACTGATAGATTTAAAGGAAAAGTCTGGTTTAAAATTTAACTGTTGTCAGGTCACTCTAGAAATTGGGATTTTCTTGTGATAGAAGTTGGTGGATAAAATAGCTGAAAAATTCATGAGGTGAAACCGCAGGTAGCTATGCATGTCTGAGAATATTTTATATTGTTTAGGTGATATCATATTTTCTTTATAGAGAAGCTAGAATTCTATCGAGCTTAAAACATCCATTTACCCAGACTAATATTCCACCTTTTTTTTTCACTGAAAACCTAAATGAATAAAAGTCAGTGTGCATGGGGTCTTTGGTGTAGGACTCTAAACATGCAGTGAGAAATGCAAGGAGTTTGAGGAATAAAAAAAGTACTGAGGATGGCTTATTTCAAGAAGCAACTACCTACACAATGTGTGTCAGTGGATTGGATTATTAGATTTAAATCCTGTGGTTCTTCATTAGAACTCATAGCCTTGTTTCATGTTTATCTTTTAATGGTAAGTTTGAACTGAAGATCTATGAAATTATATTTATCTGAAACAAAAGAGCCAAAGAATTGGTACAGAGGATATCAGTGGTTCTCAAGTTAACAGCAAATCTGGAGGTCCATATTGTATGCTTACTCTACTGAAAGACAAATAGCACATTGCTGATGAGATGTTTCCCAGGTCTTTATATCCTGCTTTTATTTTGTTTTGCTTTTAGCTTAACAGAAGAGAAATATTTAAAGAGTGGAGTAGCTAACAAATCGCATTTCACAAGCATCAAGAAAGAGGTTAATGAGGTTTAAAAATAGGGTTAAGTGGTATCACCATCACAGGAGCTGTGAATGTTTGTAGAAGATGCACATGAAAGAAGACCCATTTTAATAGTATGGAAGATTCTCACTTTCATTTCTTCTAGCAGGCTAATGTCAGAGAGATGTTTAAATTTTTATTAGAGGTGCAAGATAAAATAGAACAAAGCCACATTTACTGGTCGCATATCTTTACGAATCAGGTGGCAGAGATCAATTAATACAAAAATAAAAATTTAACTATTTTTTAATATGTAATTCTCTTAGAAATATCTCTAGCTAATACATCAAAGTTATACATCAGTCCATGCCAGACTGAAATCAAACAGTTTTTCCTTGTGGACAGGCAGAATACAATCATATCTGTAGATCAATGCTTATTACATTACTTTGAAAATTAAACAAAACGTAAATAATCAAGCATTCTATTCCCTCCACTTCCACAGAACTGATAGTACCAATCTTCAGCTTCTTACAAAGACCTGTGGTCAAAATCTTAGTGATGTAAAATCATCCCTTCTTATTACAGTCACAAGCGTTATGTTTACTTTCAACAAGTAAGGAGCTTGTTGATTACCAAGGAAAAGTGTAATACAGCATGAATCTTTCATTGCAGGAGTGGAAGGAGCTGGTTTATTTCTAGTAGTTGGAAAGAGTCCAAGCTCAGCCAGTTGAGAGGGAATTTCTTTAGCTAAATTATTTTTGTTGAAAATTCCCTAAAGAAATTTAGCCTGAGGCAGTCAGTGAGTATGGAAAATTTCAGTCCAAACTGATGAAATATGATGAACACATTAGCATTTGAAAATATGATTTTATCATGAGTTGTGTCAGGCAACTTTAGTAACAGACATATCCTTCTGCCTACCCTGTAATACTGCTCTCCGTAAAGGCATCAGTGACTGCTGTTAATTCCAGACCTGGTTTTAATGGATGATGTCCTTCCCAATCTCTTTTAGACTAATTGAAAAAACTAAGTCACTGTATTTATGGTATCCAGCATCATGAAAAACAAAATCTTTTTCACAAAAGAATTTTCCCAATGGTAAAAGCTGCACAAAGTCAGGCTTCAGAGTCTAATAATTCTTCTAGTGGCTGGTTGTATATACACCTTATGGTCCTTAAAGCAGACTAAAATATCCATCTAGATAAAGAAAGTTTCTCCTGGAGGGATTGCCTGGAAGGCAGATTGATTAGCACACTCTTCTGACTGTTATTGTTGTCTGACAGTTGACGATAAGTACAGACTAAAAAATAAATTTTAAAGTATCTTTTGCTTACCAGTTGAGCAGAAAATAGCAGGTTGGTATAGAATAGAAATAGTAAATGGGAGGCATACGTGGGTTTGGAACTGTAAAGATCCCCTGATAGGATTGGGCAAGCAGTTTCATTCCAAGTCCAAACAACCTGAACTCCAGCTGTATAATTATGTTTGGATTTGGGGATTTTTTTTTTTCTGCCTGTAATATTTTGTTTGGCTTCTGGACTGTTTGGAAGTTAGAATTTCTGAATTTCTTCTGCTGCCTATTTACTTATGACATTCAGTGCTGGCAAGGCTGGTGCATTTCTGAATTGTGGAACTCTCTAAATTCCCAAGGATATTTGAAAACCATCATTGTCAGTAATAAAGTTTAGATACTGTGGGTAATAAGAGCAATTTCAGTAATAAGA